CTTACTTCCTGATTGGCTGAGAGAATGAGGATGATGAGTATGTTATTGCTTACCTCCAATGATCTTATTTCAGTTTGTTCCAGAGACATCATAGACAACATAGACAGAGAATGGGTTTTGAGTGGTGAACTGGAGACTTTGAAGTCACAGACATTTATGTGAGTTGGCCCCATCGTGTACTGTCAACTAGTACTTTGAATTCTAGAAATTGCTGGGAGTGGACCTCCCCTAAATGACATCATTTTCTCCTGGTTTGAGCTGAGATCTTATTTCACTTTCAGCTGAAGGGATTATTTATACTTATGTATTGTTCAGTGTGTCTTAATCTGTAGCACTTCTCCAGTTTCTGTTTGCTGTTTTACTTGGATATACGTATGGGTTTACTTGTTTGCTATTTATGATACTCTTTTGTGTAACTAGTGTTTGATGGGGAGAAGCAAAATAATGAATTTAAGTTCTTTACTTCTTCAGAAAATTTATGTACATATGTATTTAAATAACCAAGGCTTCTCTGAAATATTCCCTGGGAAACAAGTCCTAGATACAGCTAGAGGAAAATTAGCCGTGTCTCAAAAGAAAATCCCTCCACTATGAGGAAAGAAAATGCAGCACAAAATGTGATTTCTAGAATGGGAAGTCTTCTGAGATACCCAAGCAAAATATTTGAGATTGTGAAGAACAAGTAAGATCCTAATAGGATTCCAAACTATTGTTCAAAAAATAATTCTTTGAAAATCTGCCTTTTTCTCTGGAATACATTTAAAATTCTAATGAAAATCAAGAAGTCATACCAACATCACCTGCTTCTTAAAATTGAAAGTGTGGTACTATAGATTAACTTAATCTACACTAAAGATATAATGGTCATTGTTATGGACAGCTAAGGTTGATAGCCTTTGGCTATAGAGTCCTGGGCTCTTCATGTTGAAATCATTAAGCACAACCTTTCAGAAAAAGAAAATGGGCAGCACCTGAGAAAAAATATAGTATAACCTCAGAATCAAGACTAAAATTCCAAAACCTTTTTTTTAAATAAAATGTCTTGGAAAAGAAACAATCAAGAATCATTATTGTGAAAATATTCTTGCAAAAAAGTCTCTGCATGTAAGTTATCTGTGTGGACTATTTAATCTAGATGTGGCAAGCATATCACAAATAGATATGATCTGAGATCCATTCTGTCCCTGAAGAGAGTGCATTCATGTTTTGTGGGTAGTAGAAAGGCCTGTGGGAGTGGGAGAAGGTCCTAGACTGCTGAAGGCTGGCACCTCCAGAGAGAAGTATCAGTGAGAATCACATCTATCTGCCACCTCTTAAATATCTCTTAATGTACAATGTTTAGGAGTTTAGGCCAAAAGCACCTACCTTCCCTGAGGTAGGTCTTAGTTTGTAATTACCTGCTTAACCCCTTCACACCAAACACCACTAACACAAAAGAATACAAATAATGAATATGAATAACCTTATGTAGACAGACAATAAATAGAAATTGTAGTTCTACAAATTAAAATATACCAAAGTTCTTTTGCCAGAAGCAAGATTAAATTTCAGCTCAAGTGAGGAAAGAGAATGATTTTACTCAAGGGAGGTCTACTCTGAGGTTCTGAAATTATAAGCCCAGGTATTCCAGGAACACAATGGGAGCAGCCCTCATACATATTTGTGCCTCTGAGACCTCCAGCCTGCCATTCAAAAGTTTCTCTTGCCTGCCTCCCTGGAGCTCCTCTCTCCATTTGTATCTTTGAGGTCTCTGCAACAAACTCTTGCTAATCATTCTTTTAGCTAATCAGGAATTATGTTTTCTGCTATGTAAACACTATACAGCACAGGTTTATCTTCTCAACAAAACTTCCCTAGGCTTGGATGGATGCAAGATTGCATTAGAATTATTCCGGTGCCCTAATAGGTGATGATGTTGCTTCATATGAGAGACTCAATGTACTACCTTGATATTTACAGGAAAATATATTTCTGTTTATTCTAAGGATGATAATAGAGTCTGTTGATTTATCTGGGGGAGAGAGGGAGTTGGAGGAAACTTTATTAGAGAGAGCCTTGAAGGGGAAAAAAAAGGTAGAATTTAATACATCTTTTAAAGTACCAACCCTAAATACTAGTATAAAATTTCAAGACTTCAAACTTTTTTTCTTTTTTCCAGAAACACTCATTTTCCTTTTTGTCCTTCATTCAGATCCATATAAAGAAGGCTTAAAAAAAAGGAAACTGAGAAATGAGTAAGAGGTATAGCAACAGTATAAAAGGGGATAGAGGAAAGATCCAGGATGGGGAAGATGATGCTGTGTGGCATAAAGTAGAAGACTAAGAAATGCACTATTCTCCTTTACTCTTAAATGAAGGGTTAGCTATTTTCTTCAAGGCTAATCATACTTAAGCCATTGATCTCATCTTCTTCTGTCTCCTCTAGCAATTTGCCACTTCAACCAGTCCGCTGGAATTGTTCTCTACAAAGTTACTAACGATTTAATTGCCAAATCCAGTGACCTCTTCTCATTACTCATTCTCCTTTACTTTTCTGCAGCCTTTGACACTGTTGATCATTTTCTCCAATACATCACTGTCTTCTGGTTCTCCTATCTATCTGACCACTCCTCAAATCTCCTTTGCTAGATGCTCATCCCTCTAACAATAAGTGTCCCACAGAATTCTGTCCTGGGTCGTCTTCTCCCTGTGTACACTTGGTGGTCTCATCAGCTCCCGTGGATTTAATTACCATCTCTGTGTGACAATTCTTAAATCTATCTATCCTGCCTCACCATCTCAGCTGACCTCCACACTAGCATCTCTGTCTTTCAGACATCTTGAACTCAACATGTCCAAAGTGAAAATCATCATTATCTTTTCCTCCAAACACTCCCATGTTCTCTCCCTGCCCCCACCCCCAACTTTGCTGTTACAGTGGAGGACAGCACCAGTACTACAGGCTCATAATGCTTGACTCCTCACTATCACCCCATAATATCCAATCTGGTGCCAACGCCTGTTAATTTCATCTTTGCAATCTCTCTCAAATAACCCCCTTCTATCCTCTATAGCAGACCCTCCAGGTGATGAGCCTCATTGCAGTAGCCTACTGTTGCTTCAAGTCTCTTCCCTGCTCCAATCCACCTTCTATCCGGCTGCCAAACTGAATTTCTTAGAGCATAGAACCAACCATGTCATCTCCCTACTTAACTCTAGTGACTCCCTGCCACCGCCAGGTGATATCCCCCCTCTTCTAGTCTTCTTATACCTTATTCCCTGCCACATACTCTTCATGGCATTGGTCTCCTTGATATTCCACAAACAAAACAATCTCCTTCCTGGCTGTCTGGCAGTTCTTCATGCCTGTCATGCTCTTCCTCCTCATTTCCACTTCTGGCTTCCCTTTAAGCCCCAATTGAAATCCCATTTTATACAGGAATCCTTTCTCAACCTTTCTTAGTTCCAGCACCCTCCTTCATTTAATGATTTGCTTTTTATCCTGAATATAGCTTGTTGTGTGTGTGTGTGTGTGTGTGTGTGTGTGTGTGTCTCCTGTATATACCTTGTTTGTAGATCTTTGTTGTCTTCCCTGTTAGTTGTGAGCACCTTGAGAGCAGGGATTCTCTTTTTTTGTATCTCAAGCACTTTAACACAGTGCCTGGCATGTAGTAGTAGGTGCTTAGTAAATGTTTATAGACTATGAAGAGTCAGACCTCCTTTATCTAACCTACTGACACTTTTCCTTGATGTTCAGAAATATACTCAGGTCTCATGGAATCATGGGGCCATTATGAAAAGTTAGTGGCAGATGGCTTTCACTTGTATGCTCAAAACCTTGAGTTGACCTCCTGTCTACCCTCTCAAGTTTTTATGTCTATGGCCTTTCTAGATAAACTCTTAAACATTGTTGTCTGTACCCCATTGCTTTTACTACTTTTTTTGCCACTACTTCGCCCATTCTAATCTGACTTCCAACTCTGCTGCTCTACTCAGATCACAAACAGTTTCTTGGTTTCTGACATGCCTGAATTTCTTGAGCAACCTTCATTTTTCTTGACCTCTTTGCAACATTTGATTCTGTTGACCATCTTTCCTTCCTTGGTATTCTTTCCTCCCTTTCAGTGACACTGTTCTGTTTTAGCTCTACCAGTCTGACTGTTCTACCTTTTTTTTTTGTTTTGCTACATAATTCTCCATGTTCTATCCTGTACCAGTGAAGCTCCCTTCTAAGGCTATTGTGGGCTCTCCTCTCTCAGTGATCTCATCAGCTCCCAAGAATTCCATTATCTCTGAAGAATACTCTCAAATCTATATATCTGATCCTAAGTCTCATTTCTGAGCTCTAATCCTATATTACCAACTTCCCATTAGCTATCTCCACTGGATGTTGGCCCACCAGAGGCACCATCAGCTCAACCAAGCAAACACATAATTTCTTTTCTCCCTCCTCCTGGCACTCCAACTCATATCTTCTTAACCTCTCTATTTCTATTAAGGACCTTATCCTTATAGTTAGCCATGTTCACAGCTGAGGAGTCTTTGACTCTCCATGTTGATTTTGTAATAGCCAGTCAGCTTCAACATCTCATACCCATCCTTGTCTCTCTGAATGATTGCTACTCTAATTCAGAATCTCATCACCTCTTATTGGACTATTGTGCATATCTTTCCTCTAGTCCTCATTTTTTTCTCCAAAACCCCCAAAGTAATTTACAGAGAGAAATTTATTGCATAGTTATTTGTGAATGCTAAACTGAAGGCATTGACATCATTGTTTGAGAAAAGCAGGGAAAGGGTATGGAGATTGTATTTTGAATGGAAATCATAAGAAAACTGATTAAATTGGTAATGTCTATACCCACAAAAAAGTAAATTCAATTTGAGGTCTTTTAGGCTTATTTTTGAATATCATACCTTAATTTGAAAATATTTCCTCCGTCTTACAGGCATAACAATACGCATTCAACATTTACTTTTCACGAGTTGCCTCAAAAAGCCTAATCTGTGTTGCATTCCAGATGTTCCATTTAAGCAGACCTCTTCCATAGCAGTAGCTGGAGCAGTTATTGGAGCTGTCCTTGCGCTTTTTATCATTACTATCTTTGTGACTGTGTTGCTGACTCCTCGGAAAAAGAGGCCATCCTATCTTGACAAAGTGTAGGTATTTTTTTTTAACGTGTTTTGATTGTGAATAATCAGCATGCATTCAGGAGTTTTAATTTTTGTCGTTAGTATAATCCTTAAATATTTGAGGGAAGACTGTAAAATTAAATTTACATCTTCATGCCTAAATACATTTTGCCCTAAAGGAAAAGTAAGGGTCCAGTTAAGATGAATGCAACGCATACATTTTAACCTAAAGTAAATTGAGGTTCTTTTACTATGGCCACAGAAGAAGGTGCTTCCTCCCTCCTTTCCCTCTCTCTCTCTCTCTCTCTCTCTGTCTCTCTCTCTCTCTCTCTCTCTCTCTCTCTCTCTCTCTCTCTCTCTCTTTTCTTCTTTCTTTCTTTCTCTCTCTTTCTCTCTCCAGTGTGTGTTTATTGGACTTCTAAAAATAAATGTAAATGTCTTCTAAAATGTGTGTTGCTTTAAGTCACAAACATCTTTAGCCTTAGTTTTGTGTAGCAATTCATATAGCAACCTGTTAGGAGATATTGAAAATTTTAATAGCATCTTTCTTCAGGGGAACTTATTTTTTTTATGTGACATGAGGTTACATTATGGAATTATACATCTTATATATTTTAAAAGCCATATAAATTGGGGCTCTGGCATAAATTGACTTTAGCTGAATGATATTTTTTAAAATTCCTTTTAAATACAGAAACAAACCAAACATTCTATCTAGAGTATCACATTGCCAGAAATATAGAATCAGCTCCATATTAGTTTTACTATTTTTATCTGTATGGCCTACTAGTCATTTAACCTTAACTGGCTTATCTGTGAATTAAGAGAGATTAGATAATCCTTAATGTCTTCCAGTCCTTAGAGTCTATTATTCTGCTCTCCACCTCTCTCTGGCAGTGAGTTTTTGAGATTGGGGGGAGAAGTAGAGGAAGAAGAGAAAATTATCTGTTAAAGGAACAGTAAAATGCCTCATTCCGGCTAGTCCTTATAAACATACTTCTAGTTCTTATAAGACCCAAGTCCTTAAGTTTTAGGTCATTTGGTAAGCAGCAAATAATGATTAGTTCTTAAATGTCTGTCTCAATATAGTGATGTTTGACTAGAATGTTTATACCTTGTGTATGTGTTGGGACTTCCTAATCTTCAGTTTGCCTTATGATAATGTAGCTTTGGCATCTCAGTAAGGTCTCATATGGAGTCTAAGGAAGTTCTTCATTTTCCCAGTTCTATCCTATTAATATTACAAGGGAGATTTTAGCATGGTCCATTTTTTTTCGTGCTTGGACAGCTTTATTCTCTTTGTAACTAGCAAGTGTTATGTTTCTACGTATCTAAAACAATCTTTAAGTTTATACATATAACATTTGGTATATTTATCATTCTTTTGCTTTTAAATTATTACTTTAATGATTCTGCAGTTGTTAACGTACATCCCATATTTCACATTTATGTTTTTTGTGAAATCCAACATAAGTACTACAATGTCCAAGACTGGTATTTTTGGTAAGATTTAAATTTAATTTATTAATTATATATATTTAGATTGTTACGGGTGGTCTTCAGACATTTTGTCTTTTAGTTTGCTTTATTATAATCAGGTACTTAAAAGTCAAAATAACATTCTAATATTGCTTCATTTTAATAAAATTTGCAAAATTATTAAGAGAAGGAATCATTTATTTTTATTAGTATATCTGAGTTTTTTCTCCCTGTCTTAGAAGGAAGAGATTCTGTTTCTTTGGAAAACAGGATTTCCACTTGCCCAGGACATCGAGAACGTTGATATTTGGGTGACAAGCAAGATATTTTCGAGTTTTCTGCACATATGGAAAGCTTTTTAAAAAAATGTCAACATTGGGGCAGCTAGGTGGCATAGTGGAGAGAGCTCCAGCCTTGAAGTCAGGAGGACCTGAGTTCAAATTTGGCCTCAGATACATGATACTCACTAGCTGTGTGACCCTGGGCAAGTCACTTAACCCTGATTGCCTTGCCAAAAAAAAAAAAGTCAATATTGAGTATTTTTCTCATCCAGGCATTTAATAAGCCTGAAAAATAATGTTAATGATACTGCTTAAAAGAATATCTTGTATCAAACATATATGTGTGTGTGTGTGTGTGTGTGTATGTCATTAATAGGAAGTTGTAGCATAATTTTTTAAAAAATAAAACCCTCTATACAAACTTTGCGATGTGTATAGTATTATGTACTTGCACCTTTGATATTAACAGCAATATGTGGGTTGATTTGGTTTTGTCTAAGCTCTAATTCAGCTTATTTTCTCAGCTCTGAAGGGTAAATGAAAATGAGTGCTGAATATTAAATATTTGAGACAATTTAAACAGTATCATGAAAATCATGTTTAGAATTATAGGGATCCTACCCCCCTCCCCAGCTTTCCTTTTGTTTTCATCAAATGTGGCAGTCATATTGTTTATTCTTTTTAATGCAGGATCGATCTTCCACCCACACATAAACCACCTCCTGTGTACGAAGAAAGATCTCTCCCTGTGCCTCAAAATGAAATCACACATCAGGTAGGTTAATGAGCACACTTAAAAATCACCTCAAATAGAGTGCAAAATACCCACTGCCTTATGTAAATGGTTTGTTTCTTGAAGTTGAATAGTAGTTATGTGGCACTTCATAGTTTGTTCATTGCTCTGGAAACGAGGGTAGTGCTAGCCTCTATTTGTCTCTATTCTTGATGATTAGTGGCATGAGTTTTTCTCTAAGGAGTTGGCAAAAATTTGTTTGAGATGCTTAGAAATAAAATTTTCATTAAAAATATGGTTCTCGGGGCAGCTAGGTGGCGCAGTAGATAGAGCACTGGCCCTGAAGTCAGGAGGACCTGAGTTCAAATCTGGCCTCAGACCAAACACTTGACACTTGTCAAGTCACTTAACCCCAATTGCCTAAAAACAAAAAAATGAAAAAAAAAAGTATGGTTCTCGATTTATGGAACATTAACGGTAAGTATATCTATTGGAGTCTAAATATAAATATTGCCTCCTTTGAAAATGAACGCTATGTTTTCTTTCATAATAATGGGAGATATAGGTTATTCAAAATAAAAAAATAAACTCACTGAACCCTGTGTTATGTTCATAAGTTACCTTTGGAAATTTTGGAGTAGTTTTACTATTAATCTTTAAGAATTTTTCCTGCCATTTCAGTTTTATGGTAAGTTACTTTACTAGAAATCAGATTTGTTCGGGAGAAGAAGTGTCATGGAAGTGGGAGGAAATCCCAATGACACTGTATAGGGAGGGATTGTATTAAGAGATACTTAGTTGCTGCCCCATTCCTCTGAGTTGTTCATTTCCTTCACTGCCTGGGACCCTCTGATAAGTTCCAGCTATAATACCTTAATAACATAGGTTATTTTGTTGTTGCTGTTTTAAGAGGATGACTTGACTTGATATATAAATGGTCACCTATCCCTTTTATACAAAGAGACATTGCCACTTTCCTAGAGGGAGAAAATAAACAAGCAGATATAAAAAAAGTTAATAATTAGTTAATTATTAATTAAACCAGTAATTGAATGGAGGGCCTATTAGTGGCAACAGTGAACTTGACAGCAAGTTGAGGAGTTTCACAATAAATAATCAAAGTGTTGTGTGATTGATTAGGAAATGAGGTAATTTTGGAGCTGGGGATTTTAGGAAGAGATAGCAAAAACACAGAGGTACTATTATATATTACTGTTTATAGGGAATAGCAAGCTTGAATGTTTTAGGGAGAGAGGTTTGCCATGTAGAAGAATAGTGAAAGGTGAAGGTAGAGAAAGATAGTGGCTAGAGAATGTATGCTTCATGGTGGTCCAGGAACATTTTATTGTCCTGGATCTACTACCTACCAACCTTCTGACCTTAGTCAAATTTCTTCACCTTTCCAATACTGTATACTGACCTGTAAAATGAAAGGGTCCAAGGTCCCTTCTTGCTTTAAAACACTGTGATTCTGTGAATATACTATATTGAGTGTTAAGTAATGGCTTTAACCTCTTCAGGAGTGTCTTAACTTGAGTGTTGGATGAAACAGTTCCCAAGCCTGTAAAGCATTTGGACATTCTTGAAGCTAAATGAGCAATCAACTTGTAAGATAAAGTATTATGATTCATATATTAGAATCTAGTCATAGAATAATTATGTGGTTATTTGTATATTATATTAATGTTGGGATATCAAAATGTAAAATAGTAACTGCCTTTTATCTTGCCAGTTTCTGAGAGATCTGTGAGCGTACCTAATTATCACCTAGTTATTTTATTGCAGTAGCCCTTGTATGTATTGTGTTATGTTTATCTGCTGTGATAGCCCTTGTGATACTTAATCGAAATGGTTAGAAATGTACTTATTCTCCTGGTGAAGAAAGGATACATGACATAACTGAAAGACACTGATCATGGCTCCTGGTACTTATTCTCAGAGCCAGGTATAAGGACCAGATTGAGACCAGGGACCGAGTACTAGACCACATCAAGTACTAGATGGACCTCTTTTGGAAAATGATCTTTGTCCAGGTCTCAACTACTGTCATTTCTATTGAAGAGGTATCACCCACTTATTCAGCCAGTATGATTTCCCTAGGGAAAACAGAAGCAGAATTAAGTTTTCCTACCTCCATTTAATTACACATCTTAGCAACCAGTACTAGGAGACATTCCCTTCTCATTGCTAGTGACTCAGGAGCCCTAAGATGCCTAAACTATTAAGGTGCCTTTAATTGGTTGGTATTATGTAGAAGAAATTATTTTTAGTGAGTATATCATTGCTATCTAGAAGTGAAGCTGCTTAAGTTATGAATGGGTTACCCCAAGGCAAAAAGTCTACTAGGGAATTCCAAGTCTACTAATTTTGAGGTGAAATATTCCGATTAATAGTCACAGCTATATCAAGGATGTTTAAATATGTCTATCTAATAATATGGACATACTGCTTTGATAATTCAGGATTGGTAATTTCATCCATGTGAGTTGTCTACATTCTCCACACAGGCAGGTTTTTGCTCCACCCTTACCTTTACATGCACACACTAATTTGGTAGACACTTTTATGTTGATCAGTCTGTTCTTTATTTTTAGTTAAGCTATACCTGTGCTCTTTGCATGTTTGAAAAATCTGTAACTGTGGGGTTAGGTTGATGTAGATTATTTCATCCCCATGACCACATAGTAAATTTATCCCCATGACCAATAGTAAATTTATTTTCTTTACTCATAAAAATCATAACCCATCTACTCTCATTCTATAACTTTCTTCTTTGGAGTGCAGAATGAGACAAACCCCCACCTTACGTCTTTTAAAACATGGCCAATGCAGAAGTCTGTATTGTTTGACTGTATACATTTGTAAAAGGGGCATGGTTTTGTTTCTCTTGCTTTTTTGATGGGAGAAGGTGGGTTGGCAGGGAAGAAGTGAGAAGAGAAAGTAGATAACTTAATGAAAATAAAATTTAATTTTAAAAAATTGTTGTCCATGTCTTTCTGTAAAATTTCTGAAGAGAATCTTCTGTTAAGTGTTGTAAGCTATCATTTGAGTCTATAACATTTAGACTATATACTACCCTTCACATTAAGTACATACCCAGTATACCTCCCTTTCTGGTAATTCATATCTTTATGTCTTTTATGACATTTTTCGCAGTTCAGTAATGCTTACTCCTATTTATAAGTTATGTACATCTTTCTATTTCTGTTTGATTTACCTGAAATTTTGAGTCTTTGGTCAAAATTAGTGTTGCATGATTTGTCACCAAGTAAAATAATAGGGAGAATTATCCAATGATATTGTCAGTCATTCATGACATAACCATTTTCTGTTTATACAGATAATCATTGGTAATTTGCTACAGCCTACTTAGTCCCACTTTGCATTTCTTCATTGCCCCTTACTTCACCTGCACTAGTGAGGGGGAAATTTATAGTGATTGAAAATGTCACAGATGGTACTATTATAAAATAACATTTATCAAAAAGACCACAGCAGGTATTAAGTCACATTCCTTCTTTGTCATTATGGAAAGGGAATAGTCAGGCTTCCACAAACTTTTATGTTGACCACATTTTAAAAATTGTATAGTTGACTCAAAAGTGTAGAGAGTACAAGATCCCACTTTTGTCAGTGTTTGCTGATTCAAAGAAAAAATTGACTCAGTAGAGAAGAATAAAACTCTAGGGACTTTCTTTAAACAGGGTGTTTTCTTTGCATGTATTAAAACTGTACAAGATTCTTTGATCGATACAAAGATATTGAATTAAAGAGATCAATGATTCTGTATACTTATCTCAAAAAAAAGCAGGAAAACACATGTCACCATCTTAGATGGTGTCCTCTGAAAAATATTGGTATTTAAAAGATGCAGGATGCACTATAATGACAGAAAGCTGTTAGAGATTATCAAAATCATTGCATGGTTTCCCAAATGTGGTCCAACTTAGTCTCCTAGTAACCCTTTGGTCTAGTTCTGTGTGTGTGTGTGTGTGTGTGTATACATAGATGTGTGGTGTAAATACATAGAATTTGTGCATAAGTGTATTGTGTGTGTCTGTAGCCTTTCCAAGGTTTATACAAACTTATGCAAAAATTCTTTCTCTGCATATGTGTGTGCACATATAGTGTGAATGTGTTATATACCTATGACCTATTACTGATATGAGTCATCAGTAACCTGAATCTGTTGCTTTTATATAGTAACACCATTAAATGCATTCAATTATGAGAGTAAACATCTATATTGCGAAGAAGAAAGGATAAAAAGTATTAAAAAAATACAGCATGCAGTTGAAGCAACTCAGTCTTGACCTATTCAAACAAGATATTGGTTATGGAAAAGATGTAACAGTAGTATAAGGAAGAAATGACATGGATATTGTGACTGTAACAAATTCGTATAGAAGTTGAGCAGATATAAATTAGTTACCATACCAAGGGGACCAAAAGAACCAGAAAGAAAAACTCCCTAAATCAGCAAATACTTGACTTGGGTAAGCAGAAAGACACTCAAAGGCAGCACTGGTTTAGATTATAAACTAGTTGTAAAATCTTAGAGAGGAATGATGCGAGTTTATGAGCAGTATTAGCTCATAATGAAGCAGTGAAGAGTAAAAGTTTAATGAAAGCTTGATAATTGACCCAACTCTGCAAAGTCATTCCTAGAACATCTAAGGATGAAATTAGAAATAGGACAACAAACAGAAGAAAAATGGAAAAGATTTCCACCATCAAGAACAGTAAAGCCACTACCCCTGGACTCTAGTATTGCAGCTCTAAGTGGGCTTTTAGGAATGGCCTAAAATTGAAGAAAAACATATTTGCATTACACCAAATATCCAAAGAAGAGATTAATGCTGGAGCCAACATAATTGTGAGGGCATTAAGGAGTTAATTTACATAGTCTCTGAAGGAAGAAGAGATACCATAGTTGGATGTGTGTGGAAAGGGTGCAGAGGATGAAACCTTGGGCCTAATTACTATCAAAGTAAGGCAACCAAAGAAACATTAACAATTACAGACATATCTATATCTATATA